ACGACTCACAGATAAGAAATTAAGTGTAATTTAATGTTGAAGTCAAAGAAAATTTTATACACTTTAAATAGTGACTTAAAGTCTCAAAGTGTTAATTAACCTTTGCATATTTACCTAGACAATAATCACAGTTCTTGTTAATTTGTGGTTAATTATTAAAGAACATTTTTTGAACTTAAAACTAACATTTAATGCAAATTCAAAAGAAAATATATTTACATATAATTTGAACCTAATTAACCTTCAAGAACTATATCTTCTTTTTAACTTGGTCTCATTTTTATAGAATTATATAAAGGATTCCTTCCTCCCAATAGTCCAACATTTTGTATATCTAAAACCCAAAAAACGATCAACACACAACCCTTTTTTCCCAAATTAAGAACCCCTTAAACCTAAGTTGCCACCCGAAACAAATTGAATTAAAAAAGTAGCCACACAACGCAGATACTCAATTGTCTTGCCCCACAAATATATGGTATTTACACGAGTGCGAGGCGTGCAACGGAGCCCTAAATTACCACATTATCAAGTACAAGGCGGCGGCACGATTGGCGTGGCATGCTACATGGACAGGCCCAAAGCTCTGACCCCACAGCAGGAAAAGCCACCAAGAAAATGTAGAGGGGAAAAATCAGGGAAAGGGTAAAACCCAACTTGGCCGCGATTTTCCTTCTCACTCTTGGACGATTTCGACACTTTCAAGATTTTACTATAAAAATTTGCCATAAATTTGTTAGCGCGCCGCTTTTGTTGTGTCTCCTGGACTACAGACTCCTCCAAGTCCACCAATTCCAACTTCTTGTAAATGCATTTTAGACAGGGATGCCCAGGGAATTCTTTAGAATATAAAGTTACATATATAGAAATATATAGAAAACCTTCTTCTTTTAAAAATAATACGTAGATACATATTACAGAGTTTTCTATGTTCAAAAAGTCTTTATAGAAATTCTAAAACATTTTTAGATATTGCCCCCTAGAGCTAATGAATTTCTTTAACTCAAAAACATCTCCAATGTTACCATCACTGATCCCAGTCGCCGCGGAGGCTGGATCTTAGCTGGAAACCTACACGCATGTCCAGTGCCTCTGATGATATGTACTTTCGCAAACATAACTGACATGTTTGGCTAAGGAGCCATAAAATAAATTCCACTTCCCGAGCCAGGGGGAAGGACAGGGAGTGCTGCCTGCGAGTGGCGTTTCTGGCCAAGAAGGCAGCACGTGTCTTGTCTCGGCCAAGTCAGGCAAATGAAGTTAACTCAATCACGGAGCGGCCAAGGGCCGTGCCCGGGTGTCGGCCGGCGAATAGTAAAAATGTTAGAATAACTTGTATAAAATTTATCAAGCTGCCGTTGCTGCCGTTTCCTTTTGGGTTCGGATTCGAGTTCGGGTCTAAAAAGGGCCTGAACTTGGACGTGGGTCTCTGGCTGATCTGGCTCCTATAGCACCTTGGGCTCCTCTGACTCCTCTGGCTCCTCCATGGTGCCACTTCCTACCTCCTGCCACACGCTCAAGGGAGCAAAGTGATATTTATGCCAATTGTTGGCCAGCACTACATGCGTGTGTGGGTCTTAGAAGTGCCAGTAGATGTAGATGGTCATGGAAATGGAAATGGAAATGGCCCTGGCAATGGGATTGGTTCAGATTGGTTGTGCAGTGAGAGAAATTAACAGGGAATTATAAAAGATATTTTTAAGAAAATTATTGAAAAAGTTCACCTATAACTAAAGTTATTTAAGATTAAAGTCGTATTCAAATAGTCCTAGGTTCTCCTTTCATATTTTCTTATTTGTTCCATAACTTAACTTTAACAGAATCTCTATTTTTTTCCTATAAGTAATACCTTTTCAGGGTATTATATTTTTAGTCTAAAGTTTAAAACACTGTGAAAGAGTCATTTCCGACCCTATGTTTCATATATATTCTTGATCAGTATCAACAGGCGAATCTTTCTAGGCATGTAGAAAAGAAAAAAAAAATTTTTTAATTTTTCACAATTTTATAAGGGGTTACATCGTTAAAATGGTAAAAAATTGACAAAAATTTGAATTTTTAAAAATATTAAATTGAGTACGCAGTATTGTTAACCTAATCAAAACTAATAAAGGACAGCTTTCCGATTTGAAATTAATGCTTTTTTGACTTAGTTATGAGTTTTTTTCAACTTTGGTTTGGCGAAAAAATTGGCATTTGAAGCTTAGTTATAATCGAATTCCGATTCGATCTTGTAATTTAGCTTCGATTTTTTACTAGAACTACTTATCTTTTTAAATCTGTAAACTATTCTTCCTGAAGACACACATGGCGTATACTTAATTCAAGTGTTTCCACGTTAAGTATACGCCATGTATGCTGGAGTTTTCCCAAATCGAAGACTATTTTTACAGAATATTATATTTTTAGTTAGAAGCTTGTAAATATGTAAAGGAGTCATTTCCGACCCTATAAATCATATATATTCTTGATCAGCATTAACAGCAGCTTCTTTCTAGCTATATCCGGGATAAAACATTTTTTTGTTAATTTTTTTGACATTTTTATAAGGCATTACATCGTTAAAATTTACAAAAATCGATAAAAATTTTAATTTTTTAACATTTTAAATTAATTATGTAGATTAATAAGCCTAATTAAAACTAGCATGGGAATGCTTTCCGAATTGAAATAAATGATGTTTTGACTTAATTACGTTCATTCAATGGTTTACAAAACCCCAATATTCTTATCACCTTAATTATTAAATTAGTACTATTATTCCTGATATATTTCCAAATTAGTTGTAGAATTATTGGAAGCTCTTATCAGGATTATTAAATGAACAGTTCCTCTTTTATTTCTACAAAATTGAACTCCAAACATAGCTTATGTAAATTACCCATTACCCATCACTCATATGCTCTCCATTAAGTACTCTTCCTCCTTAATCCATCAAATTCCCCAACTTCACACCCCAAATTTTCTCCCTGTGTAGAGATCAGCGAAAGGGCCCTGTTTTGTGGCGTTGTTATTTTAAGGCAAACACAAACGGACACAAAAGGTGAATTCAATTTATTACGAGAGCATTTCAAACTCACAGGCAAGGTTGAAGTTGAGTTGGAGCTGCATGGGAGTTGGACTTGGATTTAAAAACGAGGCTTATCGCTGGGAGTAATCCTTGGGAGCGGGAGCAGGCGGTGAGGCCAAATGCAATTATGTGTATTTTATGCTCCGACTGGCTTCATACTTTTGCCTGATTGACAAATAAATTTGCGATCCATGCGTGACGATAGGCGGATCCGACTTTGGTAACGAGTTCCACAGCGGAAAGTGTTCTGGGGGAGCCACTCCATGCCAAGAGGAGCAGCATCTGGAGCTGGAGCTGATAGCATTGATAGTTTTCCATTTCATTGTCAATGTCGGCCGGGGCGGGCGGCTTTGGTTGGTTAATTAAGCCAATGCCATTGCAATCAATGTTTTCACTTAAGTGCAAGTAAATTTTGCATCCGACATCCTTCTAGTTTTCCCTCCAGTTTTCCCTTCAGTTTTTCCTTCAGTTTTCCCCATTTTCCAATGCAGCTGGCCAGCCGGCAGAAAGAAGAACAACTGCATTTGTTTGATGTTAGAGACAGCGCCTGACTTTGATTTCGACTCTTCTGGCTTTGACTTTGACTCTGACTTGGACTTGGACTTGGACTTGGTCATTAGTAGCTGTCGTTGTCAATGTTCTTCGCTTGATTTGTTGGCCTTTTCCTGTCAACGGCTGAACCTAAAGTTGGGCGGCTCTTAGCCCTAATTAGGAACATGAAACTATGGATTCTGGTAAGTTATTTAAAGGTAAGATATAATAAATATACTAAACTTGTTCGTAACATTAATAATGATTATAATACATATCATTTTAAATAGTAGGTATTTTAATTAAAATAAAACTAAAGAAGTATGTTTTATTTCATTCTCTAAAATGAAATCTAGTTATGTATTAATATTGTAGTCTCAAAATTCGATTAGGTGCCTCCTCTGTTTAATTAAAATCCCCCCTAATTGTTGCAATGCCACACACGAATTAGAATTCCTGGTGTCCCCTTTTTTAATTACAACCCGCATAGTTCTGCGTAAGCCGGGTCAAAAGCAACCGCTCTCCGCCGTGCGATGGCGATGGCCCACGTAGTTGGCCAGGAATTTATGGACAAAGCCACTGCTTCAATTACCAAGATAAGTCGGCGGAGACCAGACCCCCGTCCCACCCAAATGTCTTGGCATAAAACTGTCGAATGTCGAATGTCGTGCGGCATTTGTTACTTATTACATGTAAAGAGACTACGACTCGGACTGCTGCAACTGCGACCGATATCGATATGCTAAGCTTAGCTGATCAGTCACAAAAAGATACGTATATATATACATATATATCGTTCGATACTCGCTCAGCTACGTGCTGACCTTCAACTTACTCCACAACCTTGTTAGTTGTTGCTGCCCGGAGTGTACACTTTGTGTCTCTCTGGTTGCTTTTCTTTTTTTGGGCCTTTGACTTGCGGCACAATCGCGATCACTTTTGGTGATTGCGAGGCAACGCCTCCGTCTACGACGTCATCAACCCGCAAAAGCAACAAACCAACAACAAACCAGCAACACGCAACTGACAGCAGCAACAACTGTGGCAACAAAGGCGACAGTCAGAGCAACACCCCCAACAAACGACATGACAATCAGTGATGACAACAGACTGTCTCTTGAAGCAAAAAGGATTTGTAAAGTAAAGGGTATAAATAGGGCAATATTTATAGAGGAATTATAGATGAAAATAAGGCTTTTCTTAGGGGTTTCTAAGAGATCTGGATTAAATTTGGTTCTATGTTCTATAACTCAATATAACACTTTATGTATAGAATAGATATCCCTGGGTTATTATTCCTTAAAAATTAACCATAGTTCTAGGTTAATGTATTCTTTTTTCTCTTAATAACTATATTGTTTTTATGTATCAAAACTTTTCCCAAAGAAAATCTCATTCCTTAGCATTAAGAACAGTTTCCCTTCAACAAAACATGACACTTTGGCAGCACTGCCATCGACGACAATAGACCCTGGGAGACAGGCTCAAATTTGTTGGACGTCGTGGTTCCAATCAGACGGAGACAAGGGTTCTTGGCCATCATTAAATTCGAAATAAAATAATGCGCCACGTTGTCCGAGTTGTCCCACAGACTTGCCAGACTTGCCGCCTCTGTCACGCTCACCTAGCCTTAATAACTTTGTCCGACTATCGTGGCCACCGCATCTTGGCCATGGTAAGAAGGACTTGGAGCTGGAGTGGAGTGTGGACCCGGTGCCTTACCAACTTATTGCTCTATTTTCCCAAATAGTTTTCGATTTCAGTTTCACTTTCTGCGCTGCCCATCATGTTAACAAGGCTGAGACTGTGGCGGACCAACGCCAACTCGCGAGGATTCTGGCCAGAACCCAGGCACAGTGCCATCAACAATGTAAACGAGCCTTGGTCCAGACTTTGGTTCCCCACCAAATGGCCATAAACAACTTAAACGACGTCCAAGAATCGTTTGGGCGTCTCCGTCGTCATCGTGTGGGAAGTCCTTGGAAAAGCCCTATCATTATTTGATGAAATTAAGATGATTTGGTCCGGAAAGTTACCAGCAAGTTGCCAGTTCATAAATATGTTTTGGCTGTGTGAAAATTACCAGAGTGAATCATCTCCGAGAGACTGAGGCCCGCATGCCGAAGAACAGGTAAGTCGTAGCCAAAAACCCACACTTTTATGATTATGAAATATTGTTACCATTAATAGTGACGTCACATAAACAGCATCATGGCACAGCAAAAAATGTGGTTACTATCTATTTAAATTTAATTTTCAATTATTTAAATCAATTTATTTAACTTTGTTGAAACTATTTTCGTATAGCTTTAGAATCTTAAAGACTTTAGAACAGAACAAAGGATAAAACACGAAAAGGTGTACCCTTAGAATTCCAAATAGTATATCTTCTCTTTAGGACAAGTCTATTAATTATTATTTAATAAATAGAAAGAATAATACTAGGTTAAAAATACAATTAAAATTGTACAAAAAGGGGCTAGGGTTTTAAGACAATCAAAGCTTCTGATTTATTCGATTTTAATCTCATAAATTCATACATTTTCTCTCTGTGCAAAAGCAACGGCACTGACAAGGTCATCATTTGGCATTGCCAGTCAGTGGAAATTCCTGTAAAAAAAAGACAGAACAGAAAGCCCCATCTCATAGGGGTTTACGATTCAGCTTCATAAATGTATAGTATTCGATCTGGTTTTATTGCACTTGCGGTTGCCAAGCTGAGATCTGGCTTAAATCTTGCTTTTTTCGGCTAGAGAGCTGAGCTTCATTGGTATTTATTTATATATCTCGATATTAATTGACCTGTTCTGGTTTAACTTGTTTTCGATTTCAGTTGCCGCCAGAATATGCGTTTTTTTTTTGCAATTTCTCTCGTTTTGTTTCATTATTAATGCATAACGGTAAATGTTGAATACTTTATGCAAATTCTCGCACCAAACTGAACCAGTTATAAATTATATTAAAAATAATACAAAACAAAAATAAGAAGAAAACATTTAGGCAATCTTTTAAGTATATAAATTAACAAATACTCCAAATGAAGCTGAGCAAACACTCGAACAGATCAGACTCGAAACGATTTTTGGTGTTGAGTTTAAGTGGTTTTTTGAACTTTGGAAATGCGTGTGGCCACTTTTGACCTCAGAAACACTCCAGGCAGTAAGACAATGTAGAATTTTGAAAACCAATTTAAGATGGATAAAAAAACCGCTCCCCAAAAGCCAGTTTCCCGGTGTACATTTTAGCACCTAGCAAAAGCTGTAGAGATTTTGTCATTTGTTTTACGTTCGTTTCATATTTCACGAAAAACTAGTTTAGCCCCCCAACATAGAATAAATAAAATACTAAGCACACTCTTGGCAGCTGGCATAAAACTTAATAATTAAAAGACTCGAAATCTTTACTCGAATCTGAATTCTGAACCGGATATGGGGTTTGGGTAGGGTAACTCACTCACTCGCTTTCCGACTGAGAATAATAATGGTTTGGAGTTATGTCATAAGTCTGGAAAAAATATAGAAACAAGTTATATACGGCATAAAAGTGAAACCTAAAAAGTGAAATTGACTCGCACAGAATCGTTTAATGATAATAATGATCGATTGAGCATTTATGCAAATTAATTTTGCTAAATGCAGCATAAGACATTTGGTTAATTCAATTAACATCGATGCTGCCCAGGGCAACGAATGAATACCATTTAGAGACACACGTTCTTTGTTGGCTCCTTTGTTTTTAACTAAATTTTATATTTGTGTTGTTGTTGCTGTATTAAATTCCCAATTATGCGCTATTTTAATCGCTTGTTTCACCAACAAAAATAACCGCACAAAACACATCAAACGCTACTTGTTCGGGCCTACGACGAGCAATTAATGTCGCCTCGAGTGCGTTGTGCAGAAATAGAAAAGACAGAAATCAATTAAACCATTCAGAAAAACACAAAACACAATAAAAACGCTGAATATTTTTCCACTCTGGCGGAAGTAAAAGTTGCAGGAGAGCAGAATCGAGCCATTTTTGACAACGGTATTGGGTGGGTTAAAGCGCCATTAACATTGGATTTGCCATATAGCCACCGCCGTTGATTCTTCTGCGCACTCGAGTTTCATTAATCTTCCGTTTTGTATGTTTGCTGCCATTTTGCCATTTTGCCATTTGTGGTTTCACTGCTCGATTTGGCGCAAGTCCCGCAAACAAATGTATATTCACAGAAACACACACTGCGCACACCACACACACTCGCCATACACACAACTTGTTTGTGGTTTCCAAAAAATCAAATGCCAAACAACCAAACTGCCACAGCACACCCGTTTTAATTTTCTGCAAATTAACCAAATAGGAAATCATACTAATTGCTCAGCATCCCATATATATTTTTGCCATAGTTATACTTTATTCATTGAGAAAAAATAATAAATAACAATCATTCGGTGGAACAAAGGTTAATTAGTATTTAAGAATAGAGTATAATGGATGATGGTGATGTGTATGGTTCGTGCTCTACTTATATGGGGAAGTGGTCTGTTTTATGCCGAAACTGGTTATGTAAATAACTGAATTTAGGCATTTAAAGGTAGATAAATGTTTGGGAAATAAAATTAACTTGGAATAAATTTATAAAACTAAAAAAATAAGGGATTAGAAGTCATTTATAAAAGTCCCTTGTTGTTTGGACATATTTATTTCACATGAAATTACAACTAAAACAAGGCATACTTTAAGTTACTGTATACTGAACTTTAAATATTCCTCAAAACAAAATATACAAACTCTTAGGCTATCTCAGACTCTTTTTAAAACAGTGTATAACGATCTTCCACTCGAAATGAACTGGATTTCCCAAATATATATCTCTCGATTCAGCAAACTAGGTTCCAAGTGCCCACGCCCACCTCTTGGTCTCGATTTGCAGATCGATCATTGTATGTAGATTGCGCTTTTGATGGACAGCGATCATGAGCATCTCTGCGCCTCAACTCTCTGGGTCTGTTTTACATATTGGTGTTTTATTTTGTATTTAATTATGCCATTAAAGAGTAACAGATTAATAACAATTAATGCGGCAACAGCTGGGCATTCATCAGGCGGCTCAAACGTGTTTATACTGCCACCGATATCGGAGGAGTAGTAGTAGTAGAAACAAGTATAAGATTGAAATCGAAAACGAATCACTTTTATTTTCAGTTCCCTCAGCATTAAAAGAATTCATTTTAGCCAAACCCCGATCCCTGGCCGGCTTGGTCATCCCATGAGATAATGATGGTGATGAGGCCGGGATCCAAGTAGAAACCAAGAGTGGCAAAGATTGTGTTAAGCCTTTCGGTTTCTTTCTGCGGGCTGACTATACTTATATGTGTATGATCCATAAAGATTGATATCATGGGACGACGACGTTAGAGATACGACCGATTCCTCCCCTTGACGCAAGTCAAAATGTGAATAAATTCCGAAAACAGGTTACAATAGAATTTTCGGCTGCTGAATGTCATAAAATACAGCAGTTAGTCTTGATCGTTTGTATTGTATCAGATGGCTATATGGCTGTAGTCTGTATGATGATTATTCAAGGACAGCCACGGCATTTGCATACTCATATGGCGGCTTAGTCGGACTTTCACCCAACTACCTATATAATATAGTAACTAAGTAGATTGAATCTAGCAGCTGCCAGTATGCAGATTAAACCCAAGCAGAGACCATAGAAATAGAGAGTTCTGTATAGGAGGCACTACTTTTCCCTGTGGCTTCATAAATCACCTGACTATAAATAAGTCCTAACTTAATGGAATAACCAAACCAAACTCCAGTGGCCCGATAACACTGGACAATCACTCACCCGGGACTATTTTTAGAGGCTTCAAGTAGGCAAAACTAGGATCGCCAGGATCAGGCTAATGCCAGAGTTCTTCATATTTATCGCCTGCTACCTGTAATTGCCACAAATTGTATGACATTTTTATGCTGCCGGAGCATGAATAATTGATTTACATGCTGCTCTGTTTGTGTATTTGGCCCCGGCATTCTCATAAATTTATTATATTCACCAGTAGCAACATGCCCCATCCTTATCGTTTTCGCTTTTCTGGGCCTCCAAGTGGGCCCCATTAATCAGTGTGAGTGTGTGTTTTGGTATATGGACGACGCCCACGCTGCCCCACGGGGGATGCACTCTAATGGTTATGGCCATAACCACCATAAATCATGCGAATCGAACTGGAAGATCGTCGCCACACTGCGCCTGGGCGAGATGGCAATCGGGCAACACGCGTTGAAACTGCAATTAGCACAATCTACCTCGCTTAATCTAAGAACATTAATTAGTTTATTCAAAGCGACTTGATGCCGAGTGGAGCCTGCATAGACGACAACTTAATTGCGGTAATTATGCATTAGCTCACATCGGAATGATATTACTACGAGGAATGATATGCAAGAGGTGCTGCTGGTGGCCTTGTCTCGAGGCTTATCGAGCGGTGATCCGAGATTGGCGGGGGATCGGATCTTATAGGTGGGGTATTTAATTGTCAGTAGATAAATATTTACAAGCTGCATATATTGTGATCTGATATCAATCTCTACTCTTGTAATAATTTCATGTTACTTCAAAGTCAAAGAAATCATTTGATAATGTATCTAAGCTATATAAACTTATCATTCAGAATTTCTAGTTCATTTTTCCACTAAACTAACTGAATAATTACAAGTTTCAAAGCCTCATATATTATATTAATTTAATCTTCACTCGGAATACAATTTATTTGGTAAATTAAATTTTGTTTAATTTACATGTTTGTCTCTCTCACAACTCGCTCTCTTAATTAAATACCCCACCCGTTCACTGTGTCAGGCTTCTCTCTACATTCGCCTTAATTGCATATTTAAAGCTGACATTTATTATAATTAAACTTACATCGCCTAGTGCAGACAGCATTCTCTGGTTGTCTGACTATTTTAGCATTCGTTCAGCTTTCAGTTTCAGTTGCTTGTGCTAATTTCGCCGGTTTACTCTACTGTACAAGCTTGATTAATAAGCTGCCATCAGGCGGCTATCGCAGAACAGCAGCCGCAGAACCCGAGACCATTCATCTTCCAGACAAAGAAGTGGAAGCCAGTATTCTTGGGGAT